ATGTCTTCGCAGAGCAATCACTCGTCGTCGGGCTCGTCGAAGCGCTCGTCGCTGTCGTACAACGTGCAGAAACTAAACGAGGTGCTCGGCACGGCGCTCGACACGCGCGACCGCAACGCGTTCGTCGACACGCTCAACGAGTACCACAAGACGCGCGACGTCTACGACCTCGTGCAGGTGCTGCGCCGCATACTCGACACGCCGACGAAGCGCCAGCTGCTGCTGCTGCTGCGTCAGGTCATACCGACCGCCGACCAGGACCTCTTCGACTCATTCTGCATCAGCGGCGGCCTCTACGAGAAGAAAATCGAGAAGCAACATGGCCGCCACCACCATCACCACCACCATCATCATCACTCGAAGCGGCAACAACAACAGCAGCAGCAGCAGCAGGCGGACGGTAAGGTGGCGAACGCGGCGCCGCAGACGTACAAGAACGTCAAGGAGGTGACGCTGCGGCAGTCGACTGACGCGAAGAGCGGACTCGGCTTCTCGATACGCGGCGGTTGCGAGCACGGCCTCGGCATCTACGTGTCGGCCGTCGACCGCGGCAGCGTCGCCGAGCGACACGGCCTGCAGCTCGGCGACCAAATACTCGCGTCGAACGACGTCTCCTTTGAGAAGATCTCGCACGACGAGGCGGCTGAGGTAAGCGGCGTCAACGGCGGCGTCGGTGAGATGGGGCTGCCCCCTCGCGGCTGCAAGCGGCGTGTTTTTTCTCGTGCGAGAGGCGGGGGGGGGGTGGTCAGGAGAGGAAGCGATAGCGTGGGTAATCCCTACGGGAGCAGATTATATTGTTTCGTCGTGTCTGCTCGTCGGTTTGACGAAAATCGGAGATGAAACATCGTAATCAACGTTTCCCCGGAGGAGCCGCCCATTTTTTACATCTCTTTCGTCGATGCGTTGCGTGGCAGTCTAATCCTCGTATGAATAGCCGTGTGTACGGCTGCTAGCCTATAAACATAATATATATATTGCAACTGGTTTTACTCGTCCCTAGATGATAATAAATTTCAACCCAAACTAAGCTACAAACGCAAGTATTGCGTTGGTAAGCCCGCTGTTGAAGGAATATCAATAGTTGGGTATGATATTGGTTGCGATGTATAGTTGGATGAGAGTTTGGTAGGGATATGATGTGGGCACAGGGCGGTTAGTTAAGGCTGGGTTGGGGCGGATAAATGAGTGAGAAGAGCGATGGTGTAATATATGTACGTAATATATAATGTACGTAATATATTTGGTGAGATGCAGTAGTAGCTGGGAGGAGTGGAGCATAGAGTACCCTAGCTAGCACGGGAATCTTCCCTACCCTTTAACGGCCACGTCAAGGAGGACGGCGATTAATTAACTGAACTGAGGTTGTGAGCGCTGGTTAGGTGGTGAGAAACGTTTATTTATACGCGCTATTTTTATAGACATCCGAGCTCAATGAGACTCTGTTTATAGGCTGTTAAATTAGAAAAAAACAAGTGAGAACGCAACTCGAACTACGCGAAATTTCAGACCATTGGCGCGTAAGCCTAGGACACACTGTGCGATTTTCTACGCTGGCCGCTTGCGATCCGCCGATCGATAAATACGGTGCCGGGTCGAAAAACCGGGCGGAAATATTCAACATGTTGAATACGAGCGATGCGCCGGGCGTATGGGTTCGCGAGCGAAATACGCTGCCGTGAGACCGGACACACCGTGCGGACCCGGCACCGTATTTATCGATCGCAAGCGGATTAGTTTGCTAGTGCGTATTTAAATCTGATGGGTGTCATTTTGCCAAAAGATGTTACGCAATTACAATCGCGGCTCTTGCAAACCCGCTCGTCATAGATAACTGCGCGGGCAAACCGAGAACTCTGAAACATTACGTAAATAGACACTATATTGTCAAAGGCAGCATTTTATATTTAAAGCAAAGCTACATAAGCCCTTGACCATTTTTCTCTCGCCCTCAAAGCTAGTGTGTTTCGGGCACCCCGCACTACCTCGCGGCTAACTAACAAAGATTATCTATCACACACACAGTGGCGGACGCGGGTCGTATCATCCTCTCCCTCTCCCCTCTCTCTCTCTCTCTCTCTCCCGCCTTCTCTTTCCTCTCCATCTCCCGCCCTCTCCTACCTCTCCATCTCCCGCCCTCTCTTTCCTCTCCATCTTCCGCCCTCTCTTTCCTCTACATCTCTCTCTTCCATCCTCTGTATATCTCTTTCTCTTCAGATCTTTCACCATCTGGCGTCCCCTCAGACTAGTCACGCGCAATAATCGTACGCGTACAGCTCAACATAACCGTCGGCGTTGAATGTATGAAAAATACCTCGAGAGAAAAAACATCGCACACTTTGAACTTTGGAACCGGAGAAAAATATCGGCGACGGACAATGCGCATTTCCTCCTGCGGCAGGTGTTGAAACTCGCACAAGTCCATTTAATGAACTAACCGCATGCGGCGGCTCAGCTGCAAATTAGTGCTGGTTGTCGATCTTCCTAGAGCGCTGGCGACAGCGAATTCCGCGCACAATGTAGAGGATCTGCGGAGCGGAATCCCCTTTAGTACGCGACAATCTCACCGCCTCTCGTCTCGCGGCGCGAATCTATAATAAACTCGCAGGGTTTGCTCATCGCAATGGAGCATAATAGGCCCCTAATGCTGCTCGGACTAGCCCGAATTGCCGCGTGCGATTTCTCATCGGCTAGTGAGAAGGGAGGTTGGTGCACCATTCGCGTGTGACACGAGCGAATGATCGGAGCGTTTAGGGCAGCGATGCTGATATGTCCTAATATGTCCTGCTTATGATGTGCGAAGGGAAAGAAACCGTCGCTGATTGAAAAGCGCTTCCATCTCATATGAAATGAGTAATTGCATCGCTATTTCGCGTTAAGCATACGTGCTTTTTTAGAAAGCGCGGAAACTGCAGTGGAATTGTATACGCTTCCATGCGCACGTCGAGATGTCGTTCGATTGCTCCTACTAGCTGGAATTTAGGTCAACTAGACGCCCTCTGGTTCCAAAAACGCACGCAGCCTATAATGAATAATGTAGCAGTTATTATTAAAATATTAAAATGTTACGTTATTACACTTTCGCGCCCGTGACTATCTTTAGACCTCTCTAATGGCCCTGGCGGCCGTCCGTGATGAGCTGATGGGAGCGCGAAAACGCATCATTGCCCTAATTGCTGGCAACAGTCGAGACTGCACTGCGGTGTCGTTTTATATACACCCCCGCGCACGCACGCACGTACGCACGCACGCACGCACACGCACGCACACACACACGCATTTCGGCGTCCACACGCGTGTAAGAAGCCCATAATTTGTCCCGATCAGATTACGCAGTTTCGCGTGACGCCCACCTCGTCAGATTCGCACGCAATTTTGCGACATGGGCATGTTGACGCATCACCTGCCTGCCGCATGTGCACTATAGATGAGACGACGACTCTATAACTAGAGACGCGCCGCGTTAACTATACTCGCACGCGCCCCGCGCCGCTGCTGAAGGCTCGCACAAGAGATCTACATGCTCTTAAGCTGGAAAAAAATGTTTCGGGCCGAGAGTTCGCCGAAACGCTATCCTGAATCCATAAATCTAGAGATCAGTATCGTGCGTTCTCTGCATCACAACTACGGGGCCCTCTGCTGCGATGTCTTCTGAATGCCTAGCCGTCGCGAACGAGCGAAGTTTGCACTCGCTGAGCAATAGAAGAAGGTTTTTCCTATCTAGAATGTGCAATTTTGCGCGTAAAGTAATCAGCAGTGCAGCATGCGCGCATATAATTGTGCCGTTTGCAGTATGCGAAATTACTGCGTGGTTTATTCCTGGCGTCTCGCCATGTGTAATATTATGGGGAAAATACGTTTGACATGAAATTTCGCCATCATCACTTACGTGTGGCTGTTCTGAGCGATATTTTAAGTGAAATTTCATTATGACCTGAGAATCATTATTTTTTTATAAAGTACGTTTGGTTAATTAAGGAGCGCCAGAAGATGGCACGCGCTACAGTAAGCTATAGTACGCTAACTATCTAGTGTTGTTGTAACTTGCCGTGTAAACAATTCAATTTAGTCAGTTTCTGCGGCGTCCGCATACCACAGAGTGTATAATTTGTAATTGGCGGACGTACATACGCAAACACCCCCTCGCGCAAACGCATGCGCACGCACGCTCACAGAAACGCACGCACTCACGACACGCATGCACTAACACGCCTGCAGGCACGCTCACGCATGCACATCATTTCGCATAATTATGGCGGGTATAACTAATTATTTTACAGTGTAAAGTACGGTGGACTCTGCTATACGGTGGCTACCTCCCTTACTCGCATTAGGTGTTATCAAGAGCTAATAATACATGTATTACAGCTAAATATACATGTATTAGGAGCTCTTTGTGTTATAGGAATCGGCCATGTCTGTGCGCACACGCGCTAATTGTCACGATGTATCGATACGGGGATGTCACAGGGCTTCATCACGACACACGGTGTGCGCCTGACGGCTGCTGATGCTTACATCCTAATAACATAGTTTTACATGTAAAGATATATATATATATATCAAATGAAGATATGATCTTTCAGGAAGCCATTGTAAGATCATTGACGCCGGATATATATATATATATATATATATATATATATATATATATATTAGTGTGTGTAGTGTCGTGTCGGTCG